GCAACCCATTGTCCAATTGATAATCGGAGTTGGAAGTAGGATCCAGCAGTAGCTGGGGAATAAGTTCCTGTGCCGTAACATCACCCCAGTAACTATCTATTAGTTCTTGCATCCAAGCTGGTTGCACTGACGAGATGGCAGTCAGGGTACCCAACTTGGTCGGACATCCCTCACTGTGCTCGGCTATCCGTCGTCTAGACAATGCGTCCGCCACTCCATTGTCAATGCCTTTCTTGTATTGGATCTCGTAGTCCAAACCTAACAACTTGGTCAGCCATTTGTGCTGTAAAGGATGTGTGAGCCGCTGTTCAAGTAGGTATTTGAGGGCCTGGTGATCGGTCTGGACGACGAAGTGATGGCCTACCAGGTAATATTTCCATTTAGTGACTGCCATCACCAACGCGAACAGCTCCTTTTCATACACCGATAGTCCCAAATTCTGGTTTGCTAGAGCCTTGCTAAGGAAGGCTATGGGATGTCCTTGTTGCATCAAAACGGCACCAATACCCACGCCACATGCATCCGTCTCGATGACGAATAGGATGTCAAAGTTAGGCATGCTCAATATGGGGGCAGTCGTCATGGCCCTCTTTAAGTCTTCAAAAGCTAACTGAGCTTCAGAACTCCATACGAACCCGTCCTTCTTTAAAAGTTGTGTCAACGGTTTACTGATTACCCCATACCCCTTAATGAACCGTCTATAATACCCTGTTAAACCCAGAAATCCCCTTAGTTCTTTCACTGTTCGGGGTACAGGCCAAGAAAGTATGCAGTTGACCTTAGACTTGTCCATGCTCACGCCTCTTTCCGATATCACATGCCCCAAATACTCCACCGAAGTTTGGGCAAATGAGCATTTAGATCTTTTGCAGAATAGTTGGTTGTTTGCCAAGACCCCCAGGACGATTTGGAGATGTAGCATATGCGACTCAAGGGTAGGGCTATAGACCAGGATATCGTCAAAAAATACTAACACAAATTTCCTCATATATGGCTGAAAAATTCGATTCATCAAAGCCTGGAAGGTAGCCGGAGCATTCGTCAACCCAAACGGCATAACCAAGAACTCGAAGTGACCATGATGCGCCTGAAACGCAATTTTGTGTGTATCCATTGCCTTAACTCTTAGTTGGTGGTAACCAGCTTGAAAATCCAACTTAGACATGTACTTTGTCCCATGCAACTCGTTCAAAAGTTCATCTATGTTTGGTATGGGAAATCTGTCTTTAACAGTCAGTTCGTTTAGCTTCCGATAATCCACACATAGCCTCCAGGAGTTATCCTTCTTTTTGACCAGCAAAATAGGTGATGCGAAGGGACTGCTACTGTGAGTAACAATACCACTAGAGAGCATCTCAGCCACTTGCCTCTCGATTTCGGTTTTGTGTGTGTGAGGGTACCTGTAAGGCTTAAGTTTGAAGGGTTCTGCTCCAGGTTTGAGAGTGATTTGGTGATCCAACTCTCTTCGTGGGGTTAGACCCCGCGGAGCAGTAAATACTTGCAAATACTGTTGTAATATCCTTTCTACTTGTTTCGGAATATCCTCTGGCTGGAAATCCTGTGACTCGGCCTGTAGGGAAGCACAATTCCATTGCTTCTCTTGTATGAAGGATTTGAGGTCCTTTCCACGTACAAGTTCCATCACAGGTTGGTTGATAACTCCTTGTAGATATAGCAAACTTCCACTACTACTGAGCGCAATGCTGAGACTATGGAAATCAAAGTAATGGGACTAAATTGGTACATCCAATCCACCCCTAGTATAATATCCCAATTCCCCAAATCCATTACCTTCAGGTCAAACTGAAACTGATAGTCTTGTATTAGCCAACTTACCCTCGGGCAAATTGTACCACTAGTAATATCCGTACCATCAGCTAAGGTTACTGTAAAAGAGGTAACCTCTTGGTGTGGTAAGTATAAGGATTTAACCAGCCCAAAGTGAATGAAACTGTTTGAAGCTCCAGTATCTACCAATATCTTTATAGGTAGTTCCCCCATATTACCTAACAGAATAATAGATTTCCTACTCATGGCTCCATTTAAGGCATTCAGTGAAACTTCGGCCAGCTCCCCTACTCGACCAGTACTTTCATCTTGTTCCCCTTCAACATCCTCAAAATCCGTGTCATTTCCTTCATCCAGATCAATGCAGTTCAAGTTCCCCAGCTTACAACGATGACCTGCCCCAAACTTGTCACCACACCTATAGCACAGGCCATGTTTGCGTCTATATTGTATTTCTTCTGCAGAAATTTTATTAAACTCCCTAGCCACATTCTCCTGCCTATTGGAGTTTGGAGTAATGGAAGGAATGCGGTAGGAGTTGGTTGGCTTCTGACTGTTCGGTTGGGTCTTAAACATTCCAAATCTGGACTCCAATGCAGTTTTATTAGTGTTTCGTGGTTGTCTTGATTGCAACTCTAAGGAATATTCTTGTAGTTCAGCTACCTTGAAAGCCTTTGATAGGTTTTTTGGCTTGAACATCTTCACCATTGGCTTGATTTCCTCCTTCAAGCCACTGATGAAACTGGAAACAAAGTAAGGCTCATCCAGCCTAGGATTTCTAAGTAACATAAGAGTTTTTAGCTCCTCAAATTTTTCTTCATATTCCTCTACTGTACCCGTTTGTTGTAGCTTATTAAATTCCTCCACCACATCTCGTGAGGTCTTACAAGCAAATCTCTCACTAAGAAGATCACTAAATTCTGACCAGGAAAGGTTAGGCCGCTCGAGTTTCACCCCTGGAAACTAGTTGTCGGCTTTCCCCTCCAAAAACATCTCTACCATTTCCACCTTCTAACTATCAGGAATCTGGTAGTTTAAGAAATATTTCTGGCATTTCCTAAGCCACTCCCTAGGGTTACCCGCAGCAAACATAGGCAATTCCAATTTTGGCAAGACAGGGTTGAATTTCTTACTTTTGAGCTCCGCATGTCCGAGCTTCATATGCGCAGGTGGAGTCAGCAGCAGCGGCTCTGAAGGTCGCGATTCCAGCTCGGAGCAGCATTTTTCCCTCAGCATCACATTCAGCAAGTTGTTAAACTTTTGTTCAATCAAGCTAAACTTCTGATCTAAGTTTTCTACTAGCGCTTCCAATCGTGAGCTTTTCTGCTCCAGTTCCTCCTGAAACTTCTGTTGACAAGAGGCTTGCACAGTAGCCATCGATTCCACCAACTCCTGCAAACGGCTATCTTGCTTCTTGATCTGATCTTCCAGGGTGCGGTAGCGAGTATTCTCCGCCATTTTCATATCAAATGCAGCCAAGGATTGGCTGCTCTCATACCAGATGTCAGGTTCCTGGGTTTGAGCTTCGTGTGATACAAAAGAGGAAGGTGACTACGAAAGAGGATTTGGGGAAAAGATTGGGAAAGAAATGAGAAATGAGAGGAAGAGAGAATTAGACCAACAAGAGAGAGAAAGTAATAAAAGTCATATTAAGTCTCATGGCCCCTTTCTGTTACACCTTCTATTTATAATAGCAGCTAATCAGTAGGAAACTGATCACTCGTGAACTTAACAGAATAACTAATTCTAACCAACTACCAGAATTATTCCAACGGCATCGTTTCAGGTCGTAGCTCCTATTTTGCTCTATTACTGAAACGCACATGCTAATGCATAAAACGACAACTTCTATCTTAAGTTCCTGACACGTACTTGCCGCCTTTATTGGGTTGAGTTGTTCAACCAACAGGTTGAGCCAATTTAATTGGCATGTGCCTATGAAACCTAACCACATTACCAATATTGCCTTGCAATCCTTCAAGCATCTCAAAGTAAATTGGGGAAGAAATACAATTTTGTTCCCAAAAACCTTTGTTTGGTTTGTGTGCCAAATTGTTCTCCAATGTTTTGATTAAAATAAATATTGTTCCATAAATTTTTATTTTAGATAAACTAAGACAGCTAATGAATATCAATCATGACTAACAATGAAAATCAAATTGATAACAATTTTTTACAGGAATAATATCAGAAACCCCTCTTGAGATTTCTCCTAATATCACTTGGCATTTTGAAAATTTAAAAATATCACTTACCTCTCCTAGTAATTGTAAAAAGAGTATATTAACCTTCACTTGACACATAATGCATCTATCAAATAAATGTAGCTTAAAAATTAAAAAAAGAAGAACGAAAGTCACTTTCTTTTCTGTCCCTTTTCTCCAACATTCTTTCTTAATAATTTTTTTGGATGACTATGCAATATTTCATTTATAAATTATAATAAATTGAATTTTGTTTATCTTTATTTTTTGTGATTGTGATACAATGAAGTGTGATTTATTTGCTTATTTTGAGTTGATTTTTATAATGATAAGTACAATTTAAAAGTTTGGCTACATGTTGAGAAGCAGTTAGAAAAAAAAAAAGTTCATAAGAAATCGATTTTGAGTATATAGAGTTAAATTGGTACAAGTGTATTTCTATGCAAATATCTATTTTATTTTTCAAATTTATATTTTTATAGAATGTAATATTATGATGTGGTAGCACTACTCGATATTGTCTTTTAGGTGATGATTTTCCTGAAGTAAATAAAGTGTTTTAGGAATATTTTTATTTAGCAAGTAAATACGGTTTTTAAAAATTTTGTTATACAAATAATAAAAGTAAGGGAAGTATGTAATATTTTTAAAACGTTAAGGGTGCCAGGTGATATGAAGAGAAACTTCAGGGAAGGTTTCTTAAATTATCTCTTTTTTATACTGATAAAGTACTTATGGTATAAGTGATTCTAGAAAAAAGAAAACCTTCAAAACTCCCTACAAAAATCCCTAAGTGTACTTGATATTTATCTAACAGTTATCAATTTCCTTTAGCTTAAAAAACATCTTCTTAATAAATTACTTTCAATTGAATAACAATACACAGACAATAATAGAAAAAAAGTAATTGGAGAGCAAAGAATTCTAATTTGAATATGACTGTATAATAATTAGTACTATCCAAATTCTTGCATGACTTGTATACATATGTTTCCAATAATTATAGTCATGGATCGTGAATGCAATAACCAGCCAAGGTAAGTGCCTCACATTGCTAATGGGTATTTTTTGAACAAATTTTCTTTTCTTTCCTCTAATTAAAATTTAACATTCTTGTAATAAAGTTTTGGGTCAATTATAATAAATCCACTTAACGTATGAACTCATTCTCACCTTGCCCCTAATCTTCTTTTTTTTTTTCCCATTTCACTACCCATTAGACCAAACTAGCACTCTGTTGTCCTACTCTCTTATATTTTCTTTTTACTTCCCTTTTCACATTGCCATTTTCTTATTTCTTTACCCACTCTTTAATTCATTCTTTCATCCTTATTCCTATCAAATATTTTTCACTTGCTCTTGGCTAGCATTATTAAAAAAAAAAAGAAAAAAAGCTTGATATAATGGATTGTCCCTGCCATCACCCTCATTTACTGTTTGTTGTTGCCATCCATCAATGGCATTTGTTCCACCTCCACCCTCGTTATATTATGCCACCCATGATTGAGTTTTCTTTAATTAATTTTGTCATCTACCTGATCCAAAGAATTTTAAATATAATGTGCAGTATGATTGATGAATTTCAACTTTCAAATCATAGCTTGAAGAATTGAGGGCTAAAAGTGGGGCAAGCATTTGAGTTCCTTTTTAATCTCTCTCTCTGCAGGCTTTATGTCCATATCCCAGAAAAGGGATAATTCCTTTCCTTTTGCATCTATCCAAATGGTACCTCTTAACCGCTAAAATTGGCCCAATGATCAGGGAAGGACTCGATTGGGGGTGGAAAAGGAGTAGTGAGGAATGGGAGGGTTAAAATAAAAAATTAGTACCTCTTGCTATTTCTTTTTTTTTTTTGTTTTTCTTTTAATTTTTTTTATTCATTGCCTATCTAAAGAATTTAGGGGCTCTGGAGTGAAGAGACGATATGAGAAGGACTAGAAAAAGACAGGAGAAAGTGAAAGAAGAAAAGAGAGAAGACAAGGAAAAAAAATCAAATCCAAGATAATCGAAGGGCGATTTTCTCTCACAGGGAGAAAAGTGACACAATTTAAAAGTTGGGAGTAAAATAAGAATCAGGCTATATCTTTAGGTGAATTTATTGTAAGTAACCCTAAAGTTTTAAGCCTTTCTTTTGATGTCAAGCTACATTAATAATTTTATTAAAGAACTCACATAATTCTTTTTAAAAATATTATTTGATTTGAAAGTATTTAATAACATACTTAGGGGGTGCTTGGTTCATGCTCCAAAATTGGAATTGGATACGGAATGAATTATAAAAAATAGTATCGGAATAAGCTCCTAGTATCATTGAAATCACTACTGCTTGGTACAATTTTTAGTGGAATGGGTATCAAAATTATTATTGTAATTTTGCCCTATCTTTTGTTGGGTTCATTCACATGGGCCTTTAGCAGCAACCGCCAATCATCGGCAGCCTTGCTTTCAGCCTATCTGCAGCTATTCAGAAGCCAACCCATCCTCCCACTGGACCTCTCCTTCAACTTCTAGCAACCGAAGATGTGTCCCACAAGACCTTCATGATAAAGAAGAAGCTGGGAAGAAGCAGATACAGAACAGGCCCATCCCTTATTGGATCTGCATGCGCACTGACAACACCATCCGCTACAATGCCAAGCGCCGCCACTGGCGCCGCACCAAGCTCGGCTTCTAAATCTTCTGCGTCCGCCGTCACCATCATGTTACTTGTATTTGTCTCGAGCTTTTTTACTTCTGCCGCCACTTTTTTGTTGTAGGTCTCGATCGAATTTCATTTGATTCGAAGTCACAAAATTGAAACTTTAATTTGATTGAAGAAAAAACAAGAGGGCGAGGAAGGAGTGATACTAGTGAGAGGGAAGGTGAAAGTTTTTGAGATGTTAAGTGATGGCAACAAGAAAAATTTTTAGATGCCGTGGAGGAGGAGACAAGTGGTGGGAGGTGATGGGGAAGACAAGAGGGAGGATGACGGGATGAGGGTGAAGGGGTGAGTGCATAAAAAAAATGTTTTATAAAATTATCTTGGAATCAAATATAGGAATTAACAAAACCCACCAAATTACTCAGGAATGGAGAGTTGCCAACTTTTAGAATTCATTCCAAAATCTTCAATCCCATACCTATTATCCAAACACTTAAAATGGACATCATTCCAAATCTTGAATTCCATACCCTCAAACCAAGCACCCCCTTACACCTTAATTACCTATAGTATGTATTGCTTGTATTTTTATGGATATTTTTACTTGAGTGATTAGTAATTAGTGTAGGTCAAAAATGGATTATCATTTAGTCATTCATAGTGCAGTTGTACCAATTTTGAGACAATGAGATTAAGCATATAAAAGAATCGATTCCAATGTGCAAAAGAGAAGAAACAAATGAGAAGGTATTAGAATAAATAAATGAAATCAAACAATAAAAAATAAAAAAGAAAGTTTAATCAGCTTTTCCATGTTTCTATGTTTTATAATTCTAATACATAATTAACATATATTTGATTTAAATTTATATCTTACTTCACTATAAAATCTTCATGATTATCACTATTTGACATTTAAGGAACCACAATGATCCTAACACCAAATATTAGGGGTCCAAAACTAAAAGTTTCATAATGAAAATTTTTGTATTGTCGAATTTCTATTTATTTTCCTACTTTGCCTAAGGAAAAAAAAAAGGGATAATTTCAGAAACCTCCCTTGAGGTTTCTAAAAATTTCACTAGCCTTCCCTAAAATTTGTAAAATTACATAAAGCTCCCCTAAAGTTAAGGTTTTGATAACAAAGTTAGTCCAATTAGAAAAATAACATTAAAAAAGTACTTTAAAGAGAAAGATGAAACTTTTATTCCATAAATACTCCTTATGCTTGTATATAAGTCATATTAGTAAAAGAATAAAAATATTTAAAAGTTAGAAACAATTAATACATACATTTAACCACTCAAAAAGTTCACATTTAATAAATTAGATGATACAAATAAGTAACAAAACTACACTAATGATTACAAGATTTAGCAAAATAAAATAGTCATCTCTTTTAACATGATTTTGCTATGATTCTCATGATTTTGAACAGAAAAATTTTCAAAATTTGTCTTTCTTTTGCTTCCTTTTAATTTTCTTTGAAACTTTTAAAACTGTGATAATTGTAAAGTTATTTCATGGAAATAAAGGAGACAATTGTAAAGTAATTTCATGGAAATACGGGAGAAAGGAGGGAAAAGAAAGGCAAATTTTGAAAATTTTTCTATTTAAAATCACAAGAATTGTAGTAAATATCATGTTAAAAGAGATAACTAGTCTGTTTTAAATCAGAACAATTGTAGTATATATTATGTTAAAAGAGATAACTAGTCTGTTTTGCTGAATCTTGTAATCATTAGTGTAGTTTTGTTGCTTATTTATGTTGTCTAATTTATTAAATATGAACTTTTTGATTGGTTAAGTGTGTTCATTAATTGTTTCTAACTTTTAATTATTTTTATTCTTTTACTAATACTACTTATATACATGCATAAGGGGTATTTATAGAGTAAAAATTTTATCTCTCTCTTTAAAGTACTTTTTAATGTTTTTTTTCTAATTGGACTAGCTTTGTTATCAAAACCTTAACCTCAAGGAAGGTTTGTGTAATTTTACAAATTTTAGGGGAGGTGCGTGAAATTGTCAGAAACCTCAGGGGAGGTTTCTAAAATTATCCCCAAAAAAACTATAGACTGGATACGTTTTGCTTGAAGTATTGGCAACTAATCGTATGCACGGACTAAACATGAGAGACTAAAACTACAATTCTGAGAATTATTAGCTAGGAAGGTTTTTGTCCTTGAATCAAACAAGCTTGCATGGCTGTGATGTTTCAATTGCAGCCCCTCTATTAGCTGGAAAATGTACAAAGCAAGCAAAGAATCTTGGAAGCATTATCTTCAGAAAAAGAGAGAACTTCTTATCACACATTCATCCCTCCTTGCCTAAGCAAACAGGCCAATTAAGACACAAACTTGCACAATCTGGAGGCAACAAAATTGGAATAGTTTCTACCATAGGCAACCTGGACAACAAACTTCCAACATCAAACGTAAAAACCCAAATAAAATATCAAATGACACTCATATATATAACGTAGAAATTGTTGGTATTTCATCAACAAGAGAATTACAGATTTCTATACATCTGATACAATTGAAAGCTAAAGCACAAAAGATATAGTTTTTTTTTTGTTGTTGTAGATATGGCGATGAGACCTGCAAGAGGTGGGGTGGGACCTTCTATTCGTCCTCGTCTGGGGCCCGTTGTCCAAAATTTTTACGAAGATTTTAAACCCATGTCGGAATGGCGGCAAGATGAAGAGTCAGATATTTTGTCGCTTTTTCTTCCAGGTATGTCATCTACAATTGGACAAGGTCTCCATTGTGGTCAGCTTCATAAATTTGTTCTCTCTTTTAGTTTTTTGGTAAATTATTTATGCATTCATAGTACTAGCGGATTTAGATGCATATCATATATATATACATAATTTGATAATTAAATTTAAAGTGAAATAATGTAACATGCATTTAGATCCGTTAGTACATACATAAACAGTGTAATAAATATTAATTCTTAATTTTTAGTTTTTTTATAGATATAAGTTTTATTTAATGCTAGCATCTTCTTTCCAAGAATGAATCTTGTACATGACCTTTCCTTTTCCAGATTAACTTTACTTCTTTTTATTTATTTATTTTTTTGTATTGCTTGTTTTGCTTCTTAGAGCTTTTGATAAAAGCAGAACCACGTGATAATGCAAAACTTTTATACACATACTCTGAAAACTTTAAAATTTCGAATAAAAGCACATAAATTTTGGTTTGCATATCCCCTTTATTGAATGCCCTATTTGACTTCTTTGTTGTGAAGCGTTCTTCACTTTTTCCTTCCTTTATTCGTTTGCAGCTTTTAAAAGGATGCAACATAGGCTAGGAAGCTTTTTATGATATATTAGTATATGAAACTTAAGCTGATTAAAGAAATAGAGTAAAAGTCCACAAAATTTTTCTTTAGAAAATCAATACTTTGATACATGAAATGCCAATGAACACAGTGAAAGTCTTATTAAATATATTGAACATTTTGAATGTAATGAAATGCATCCATTAACTAGCGATTGAAGTTTGTTTTGCAACTCAACCTGTAAATATTTTGGTTGCAATGTTCTAGATTCATAAGTAACATTGGGATTTATTTGCTTTTAAATTGCCTATTTCTTAGTACAGCGCAAATAAAAGATTAAATTACATCAGATTGGGATACCAAAATATTATTTGAGTTCAATCATGGGATAGCAGAGATTAGTTAATTGCTAATATACATGTATTATTCCCATTATACATACCACCGCAATCTTTAACCCATAATCTCTTGTTTTCTTTCCATATTTTTTTTTGAAAACTTGTATTTCTTTGTATTAGTTAACAAAAATCAAGAATGAAGTAGTCCATCTTCTTGCAAAAAGAATTAGAGAACAATGAAACAATAATGAAAAGAATTAGAGAATAAAAGCAGAAAAGAACCAGAAAAAGAAAGAAGAAGATAGAGCTACCCTTCACTATGAAAGCCTTTTTTCCCAGGTTTTATGAATCAGCACCTTAAGGTTTCAACTGAAGGCAGAAATATTGTCAGAGTCCGTGGGGAACGATTAGTTGCTGGGAACAAATGGAGCCGATTCCAAGAAGATTATCAAGTTCCAGATCGTTGTAATATCAGGGCTATTCGTGCAAAGTTTGAAGGAGGAATTTTAACAATCACAATGCCCTGGAGGAAAGACGCAGCAGCCAAAGCAACTCCTCCAAAAGCTACATCTGGCCTGGACAGCACTACTGATCAAATGCAACAGATCAGTCCTCCAAAAGCACCAATCGAGCCAAGGTCAAAAAAAAGTGCTGATGAAATCCCTCCAAAAGTAATCGATCCACCACCCAGGCCTCAGAAGGCTGCAGCTGAAATTCATCCAAAAGTAGTCGATCCACCATCCAGGCCTCAGACGGCTGCTGCTGAAATTCGTCCAAAAGGACTCGATCAACCATCCAAGCCTCAGAAGGCTGCTGCTGAAATTCATCCAAAAGGACTCGATTCACCATCCAGGCCTCAGAAGGCTATTGATGAAATTCAACCAAAAGTACTCGCTCCACCATCAGTTACAGCTGACAAAGGAAGCAAAGATATTGATGAGAAACTGTTGAGCCAACCACAAACTCAAAAGGGTCGTCAAGATGAACAAGCTAGAAGCCCAGGGGCAATAAAACCCGTGACAACACCAATAACAATTTCCAGTGATGATGATGAAAAGAAGGAGACGATCACCCCTAAAACCAACGCCAAGCCAATGAAACCTGAATATATTGAGAATTTGAAAGAAGTGAGTGATGGTAAAAGAAGTACTGAGAAGAGTAAGGAACCTTTACATACACTAGCCGGAAATCTCACAAGGAAAATTATTGAGGAGAAAGAGAAGCAAAGCCAGACTGCAGTTGCTTCGAGCAGCAAGGATTATGGACTGGGAAATTTCAAGAAAGCAGTTACAAGCCTTGCTGAGCCAAACGAGGAGAGACAATTGTTGGTAAACATTGTTGTTGCAGTGCTGGTTATAGTGGCAGTAGGGGCACACATTGCCTCTAGAATTGGATCAGAAGAAGCTTAACAGTTTCCAGGTGTCTTAAGTTTGTCTTCAGTGTATATGAAATAGTACAATGTACAGAACTGCAAATATAATTGGACAGATGGTCCAAGTGGCAAATTTACGTAATCAATTGGTTGTGTTTTCTAT